TCTCTCTCTCTCTCGCTCCCTCTCTACTACTGGCCTTAGTGTTCCCCCTTCTCTGGCCTTTTCGATTAAATTGTGTTCACCGCACCTTTTAGCGTTGTGGCATAAATGTACACACTTTGGTTTTTACAGATAGTGTAGATCGAGTCATTTAAATTTTGAATGTTCCTGATGAAGCCCGTTGAAGGAGAAATGTTGAACTTGAAATGATGATGATGATGATGATGATGATAATGATGAGGAGTTTACTTAGTTATATAAACACAATTTTACCCTATTTTTGTGTCTGATCACTGTTTGTCTTTTATCTCCAGATGTGTGTTGCTTTTATTGACCCAAATGCAACCCAACTGGCAAAGAGTGCGGACTGCGTCATCGTCTCCTCTCTACCGCCCACCGTGTGAACGTCCCCGAACCAATTATCACACATCGAGGAACCAACATCTCTCCGACAGCCAGACTACCAACGCATGGTTCCATTTGCTGTAAATGCATACAATGAGCGTGAAACTGACGAAGTGTGGCTTCGGATTTCTCAAGAAGGATTAAGTTATTGAATTCCTTGTTGGTTGTTTGGTTTAATTATTTTTTTCAGATATTTTCTGATTGGTGATTGTGATTTTGTTACAGTGTTCGTTGCCACTGGTTTCAATCGTCTATCGATGTAAGAAATAAGTAGCTTCGGTTCTGTGCTGTGAACCCTGGATTATGTTTCTCTGTCAGAGGCTGTGAGTAGACGATCGAGTGAAATGTAGCAGTGTCTGGTGAAACGTTCGAGTGCAGACTCATCTTGTACATAGAAGATTAGATTGTGCTTGCGGTCCGCTACCTGTTGATTATCGGGGAAATTGTGACGTAGTTTTGTCCAAGTGTCCGCGAGAGAGGAATGTCTCATGTGGCTATGGAACAAAGGTTCTGTGTTCGATTTGGGTGTGTTGTTTCTTGAGAGAATGTGAGATCTTCAAACCAATTTGTTTGAGGACTATCTGCGGATGCCTTTGTTGATCAAAGTGCATGCTGGGAGTGAAAATTTAGATTATTTGATTCCCAAGTGTACAAGGGAATCCATTTAAAGATAATCATTTACAAAATTCAACACAGCATTGTGTGGTAGATAAATCATTCTTGCCTTTGCGGGATAGTATTTGGAGACTACTTTTGAACAGAATCCAGATGTCAACGGTTGATTTTCAAACCGGATTAACGTCTCCGAAAAGACTCGTGGAAAAGTTTCTTTTTGGTTGTTGATGTATTCAGATACGGTGTTAATGGTGTTTTACGATCTGCCCTGCACTTTAGAGATGTTTCTTTGAATACGTGGGAGTACACTGATCTACGTCACTAGTTGCGTGGTCTGTGGAGACGTATTGTGGAAAGTATTGCTTCTTTGACAGACCTGTGTGTGATGTGTTTTTCTTAAGAGTGTTCCTGAAATCTGATTTTAAAAAAAACAGAAAAGAAAAACTGCAGCAGCCGGAGTGTGTGTCCGTGAGTGTGTGGTGGTTGGTTTGTTGCCTCGTGGGTGCCCCATCCATGCGTGGCTTTATCTATGTCTGGGACGAGCTTGGTCAGAGCTCTTCCTTCCTCCAGGGCTAGGGGCTGTGAACTATGCTGGCCCGCTGCTCTGAGCATGCGCGAGCTATTTGTCGGCTGAGCGTAGCTGAAGTGAGGCGAGCGACGCCGTCTGTCTTCTCCCTCCTCATGGTGGTATCCTTGCTGTTGGCGGACGGAATTCTACCGGTGATCGCCACCAAGTACAGGGCCGTCCCGCCTTCGGAAGCGGCTGCCTTGTACATGAGCAAACCCGGCGCTCGTGGGACTGTTGGTGGTGGAAGGGTTAATGGCGAACACGGAGTCACTGGTGGAAAGAGGGTTAATGATGGTGATGGTGGGGGTGGAAGAGGTAATGGTGATGGAGGTGGGGGAGGAAGAGGAAGAAGTGACGCAGGGGGAGGAGGCGGTGGTGGTGGTGGTGGCTTAAATAATCGAGGTGGCATTATCAACAACAGTGGTAGTAGCAGCAGCAGCAGCAGTAGCGGCAGCAGCAGCAGCAGCAGCCGTAGTGGCAGCAGCTCACATCACAGGACTAAAGTGCGTGTGAAGACGTTTGTCAGCGCAGTCGAAGGTGGTGGTGTTGGTGGAGGAGAAGGAGGGAGTGCTGTCGGGGGTCAAAGGTCGGGTGTGAGTGTCGCAGGCATCCGGACACGTAGCGGGGGCGTTCTGGTGGACAACGCTAAGCACATGCGCTCACAGCATCTCCGACTCCAGTTGAGCGGGGGAGGAGGAGGAGGAGGGGGAGGAGGTGTTGGAGACAAGGAGAACAAGTTCACCACAAACATTGTGTCTTTGGGAGAGGAGGGCCGGCCTGATCAGGGGACGCGGGAACGTCAGACAAACTATATCAGCCACCCACGTCGCAAAGGGTATCCGCAGGGCGGTTCTGCTAGTGAACATTCACAACTCAACTCAAAACCATCCTCACTACCTTCTTCCTTGTCCTCCTCCGCCTCATCGTCATTGTCGTCTTTGTCGTCGTCTTCGTCGTCGTCGTCTTCATTATCGTCTTCATCCTCTGCATTGTCATCTTCATCATCGTCGTCGTCTTCATCATCGTTGTCATCTGACCGCAGCAACAACCACCACCACCAGAACCGGGACGTCGGGTACCCCTCCCTCTCTTCCTCCTCCTCAGCCTCCTCCAATCACAACCAAAAGGGCGTGGCCTCTTCCTCATCAGACCACGCCCCTTTCCCATCCTCCTTAGACTGCAGCGCCGCCCGAGGCCGGGCGCTGATGTCAAACGACGACAACAATAACGACGACGATGACAATGTGGACAACACGTGTCCGGCCATCCCCAAGCTCTTCCTGCCCCACTCCTGCCGTTCCTGCGACACGCTCAAGGCAGGACGACAGTGCCTGCCTCTCACAGACGACCTGGCCAAGGCCGTCTGCAGCTGCCAGACGTCAGACCGTGACGTCATCATTCGCAAGTCCCGCCTCCGCTTCTGCTCCTCCTTCAACACCGAAAATGTTTCGTGCGCCTCGGACTTCACAGCCAGCCGGAAGGAGTGCCCTCTGGTGGACAAAGACCAGAAGTCCTGTTCGGAGTACCTTGACCGGATTATTAATGATGACCGAGAAGCCGAGAGGAGGTACCAGGATTTCATGGAGCTCATTGGCCGTTACGACTGCAACAGCAGCTATTCGGTCAAGTGGGAGTGTGAGCACTGCAAGGTAAGGTTTCCAGACTTTGTTTGTTAAAGCCGTTTGCTTTCTTAATTGGTGGGCGAGTGTGTGTTTGGCTAGTTTGTAGAGGGCTTATTAAAAATTAAAGGAATGTAATTGGGTCTGCTTGGTGAATTAGTTCAACATGTTATTATACCTTTACAGTGCCCGAGTCTTTACTTCTGTTTCCTTTTCCCTTTAACCC